ATTATTGGCAGTAAGGCAATAACTGGCTTGTGCACTGAAAAAGACTGACGGACAATGCCGAAAAAGAAAAGGTAGGAAAAATAGAAACAAAAATCAAAACAAAAAGGTCAAAACCGAAAAAGAAAAACAAAATAAAACAAAACCCAAAAGAACAAAAACTAAGCCCTAAAAAAATAATAAAAAGTCTAACAGAGAGAGACTCCCCCTCCTCTCTGTATCCCGAGGCAATAACTAAAACTAAAACTAAATCTCGTCCTCTGTGATGAAAAACCAGATGTTGACAGACAGCAAAACCCAGCTCCCCAGACCTCAAACGGTAAACCTCAGACAGGTGAAAACTGACCCTCAAATACGTCTTCGTGGCGTGCCAGGCACGAGGCCACAGGACCCCCACCCGGGCGAACCACAACGGCAGAAAGAAACAAATTATCAAAAAAATGTCTGCTGATGGAAGAATCTCACAGAGATTCAGCCGACAGGCATCTAACTTTACCAGAGAGCTACACAGAGGACAAAAACCTAGAAACTCATAAAAGAAAAAAACATAACCAGAAATAAAAAATAACAAAACAAAACCCCGAGTATAACCACCTGCTCTAACTTATCACAGACCCAGAAAGGCTACTGAACCTGAGTGGGTCCAGCCGAGAATCCGGACGACGAGGCATACGCCTTCTGCCCTGGGGGAGAGCAGTGTACTGATGGGAATGCTTCAGCAAGGTGGCTGTGAACAGGTTTGCCAGGCACCGTTTGAAAGCGGGCACCACACAACACGAGATAACCTCCGTTCGCCATCCAATCAAACCAATCCCAGTGGGGAGGAGAAACAGTTTCTTCAGCTTTCATCTCCGAGAGCAGACTGTTAAGATGATTAATAGTCATATAAATGTTTCCGGAGACATCTGGGAGATAAGAACAACACAACGGACCTATAACATGACAGAGCCCCCCTTGAGAGGTTAATAAAAGATCCAAAGCTAGGTGGTGCTGGAGCAGCATATTTCTCTACGCTACCAGGAAAGGAGATAAAGCAGAAAAACCTTCCTCAACAAAAGCAGTTAAGTTCTCCAGCCGAGTGTGCAAAGAATCCAACTTATAAGCCAGATGAACCGTACCCCACCAAGGAAAAATACCACCCACTACCTTTTCACCTGTAGAAACCAATGTCGACCTCTTTGACCTA